AAAGGCACGCTTCCTGCGGCCAGAAGCTATCACCGACTTGCACGAAGCAGCTGGTGGAGGAGAGGGAAGCTGCAGCCTCCCCTGACAGTGCCCTGCTTGCCTGTGTCTCATCTGATACAGTGAGGAGAGACCTTACCAGGGAGCTTGGATTCATGAACTGACCTAGGACAATACTCTTGCCTTCAGAAATACCGTGAGGGGAGGGTGATCCAGCCCCCCTGTAGTGCCTGTGTAAGGCCATACTGATGGTGTGATGTCCTCATTTCCATTGGGACCAACTGATGCTGCCAGCATTGCTGAATATCCCAGGAGTGTGGCTGAATCCCACTTGGAAGGGTCCATTGGCCAGGGCTGTCAGAGAGCCAGAGGCGAAGTCTGGGGACTGGAAAATGGGAAATGAGCTCTGTCCCATTGGAAGGTGCCTCAGCTTCAATGCATCTTGGGTCACTGTACTGTGCAAGACTTCCGGTGCTGCCCAGCTTGTCCCAGCAAGGCAAGTAGCAAGAGCTACCGGCCAGAAGGGGCTGGCTGAGCCCTTGTTCCCGGTTGGCATCGCTCACCTACGCTTCATGGTGGTGAGCTGAATCTCGCTCAGCAATGCATTTCCCCCTTGGAGGGTATGAAATGCCAAGGGACAAGCTCATCAGCCTGGGAACAACCAAAAAAATGTCCTGCGGCTCAGGTGGGACCTGATAGAGGGAACCAGTCCTCCTCCCAGTTGCTGGGTAAAATGGAGACCTTGGTACCGTTGCAGGAGCTGACTGCTGGCAGGGTTCCCTGGCTCCTGGATGCTCAGCCTTCCCCTTTCCTCTGCAGTTGGCAACGCTGCCAGCCTGGGGCTGCGCCAGCTTTCTACTAGGCAGGTGGTTCCTGAATCTGGGTGGTAGGCATGTGGGGTGCGATGTGGGGGTTTGCTGGGACTGTCCTCACCAGGAGTTGCCGATGTCTGTCCAGGGCCTTGGTGGATGGCGGCAGTTCCTAGGAATGACCGGATGCGCCCCGCTGGCCTTGTTCTGGGGGTTTGAGGTCAAAAGGGGCAGGGCTTAGTAAATTGCTGCATGGTGTA